CCCTCAATAATTTGGAGAAGTCCCTAACTGCAGACTTTCCTAGTGCAATTTGTCTGCTTCTTTCCTGACTGCTGGTACCAAGGGCGTTAATTGTGGATACAAGTAGGATGAATTTGTTGACAGTTTCCATCTCTTCTCCATCTATCATGATGCTGCCTCTACCAGTCCAGTGGTAAGAACCTTTGTTTTCTTGACATTGAAATGTAATCTGCATTGAAGGGTGCATTCCTAGATCCTCTGAAATAAGTGCAAGTCCTCCTTACTTTCAGCAAGCAAGGTTGTCATCTGCATAATGCAGGTTATTGATGAGTCTACTTCAGATACTGATGCCACATTCATTCCTCTTCAAAGTCTAGCTTCAGGAATAATTTGTTCAACATACAGATTGAATAGGTATGGAGAAAGAATACAACTTCGACATACTCCATTCTTAATTTTAAACCATGCAGTGTTTCCCTATTCTGTTTGCACAACAGCCTGACCCAGGTATAGGTTTTGCATGAGCACAATTAAGTGCTCTGGGATTCCCATTCTTCTCCATGTCAGCAACAACTCGTTATGATCCACATAGTCAAATGCCTTTGCATAGTCATTAAAGCACAAATAGGCATTTATTATTTTTTTTTGGTATGTGAGTGGCATTCATTTCCTAAATAGCATGCCTCTGGAAACTCTATGACCTTTGAAAAATGTTGATAGTTGTAGAGGAGCTTCAGGCCTTTTGTTCATAGGGTCACTATGAGTCATGCTCTTGCTCGACTCGAAGGCAATCTGCAACAATAATAACTTGCAGCCAGGATCCATCTAACATCAGCAATGATATCCCTGGTGTTACGGCCTCATCTCAAAATGTATGTGCTGTATGTTTTCTTGCTTGGCAGGCAGGAAGCAACAAATCAGTGTCTTAAGAGATTTGACAAACTATGTAATTAGACACTATCAATCACCATAAGAGTCTGGTGGTGTTTGGGGTTTTTTTGTTCCCTTATATCAGATAAAGGTGCATTAAGTCTACTAATAACATTTCAGCTCAAATGAAGCATTAACTCGTGAAGGCCAATAATAAGCAGTGCTGGTCAAACTTCTTTGCTAAAAATGAGATGGTGTGCCGGGCCAAGGGACTGACTTGGACCCCTGACTTGCCCCACCCATTGAAGTGGACACTTCTCCTTTCTGCCCTGCAGGTTCCTTATTGCAACCCAGGGGGAATAAACTAAATGATCTATTAAATGCTTTTTCATTCTAACCTTCTCTAATCCGATGATTTTAAAAGGAGGTCAGGAGGAAAGATTCTTGGCAAGAAGACAACAGCTTGAAATTCCTACCATCTTAGTGATGCAGCAGTGAGAGAGATTATCCATTTGGCAAGGCTGGTGGGGAAGGGTTTGGGACTTCTTAGCCCATGTGAACAGTTTCCTTTTATGATTTCACATTAGTGGGGTTCTAACAGTAATTTCCACAAATATTCAAAGTTAAATTTTTAAGTGACTTATGTATGTACCAACATGATCAATTAGCATTTGTCCGAAAAGAGTTTCCTTTGTTCCTTTTTTTTTTAATTTGAAAGCTAAACACAATGCTTATTTATTCCATAGTTCTCAAACAGGAAGAAGATTTTAAATGACTTAGTTCCACAATTTGGGGTAGATGTATATTTAAAGAAACGCTGTTGCATAACAGACACTGCCTCTTCCTAAAATGCATCATACCAGAGCCAATTTTGGAAAACACAAATATGTGGTGGGTATGTGTTGAAAACCACGTGAACATAATAGATCTTCAATTAATATTTATGGAGTGTATGAACAATTTGTGCTTTTAAAAGACAACTGTCTGTAAAAACAACGTCTGTTATGGAAAAAGGTTAAAGGGAACATGTAAATTGGATTTTTTTTTCTGAGGTTTATTTAACAGTAAACAATTTACTTTTGTTCTAATGTATTCTATTGCATGATAAGGAAGACTAGCAATATATGCTAAATAAGCAACTTAAATTATCTTTATAGCCAAATTTGTGGTATATTTAGATATGCAAGTGTGCTTTCACATTTATTGTTACACCATTTGATTCTTACTTAGCCCAATAGTTACAGAAAAAGTTACTTTATTCACCTTGCAGAGATAGATTTGGCCTCATTTTTTAAAATATGCACAAGTGGCATCCACTTTCTAAATAATATGCCTCCAGAAATTCCATGAATTTAATAAATGCCAATAGTTGTAGAGGGGCTTCAGAACTTTTGTTCATAGGGTGGCTATGAGTCATGCTGGACTAGAAGGCAATCATCAACAACAACAACAATTGCATTGGGAAAGTCTCCTATCAGAGTCCTCTCCAGAGTACTGAAGAGCAATGATGTCAGTCTAGAGACTAAAGTGTGTCTGATGCAAGCCATGGTCTTTGCAATCACTTGTTTTGCCTCAGAGAGCTGGACAATGACTAGGAATGATAGAAGGAGAATTGATGCCTTTGAGCTGTGGTGTTGGAGAAGAGTGTTGAATATACCATGGACTGTTAAGAGAATGAATAGGTTCATCCTAGAGAGAATGAAACCAGGCAGCTCCTTGGAGGCACGGATTCTTAAGTTTCATCTGACATACTTTGGCCATGTTGGAAGGAGGGACCAGTCCTTGGAGAATGACGTCATGTTTGGGAAAGTTGAGGGACAGCACAGGAGAGGAAGACGTTCTATGAGGTGGATTGATTTAGTGACTGAAGTAATGGGGGTAGGCATGTCAGAGACATTAAGATTGGCACAGGATAAGGCAGGGTTTAGGGCTGTTGTACAAAGGGTCACTATAAGTCACAGGTGACTCTACTGCACATAACAACAACCACAACAAGTAACTTAAACAAATTATCTTTATAGTCATGTATGTGGCATATTTAGCTCTAAAATGGGCTTTCACATTTCTTGTTACACCATTTGATTCTCATTCAACACAATAGTAACAGATAAAGTTACTTTATTACTTTGTAGAGATAGATTGGGCCTCATCTTTTAACATATATTTTTCAAAGTAGTCAAAGTTAAATATTTAAGTAATTTATGTGTATATCTAAATAATCAATTCGTGCTTTGTGGCAGGAACTCCCTCATTTATTACTGTTAATTTGGAAATGAATCATAGCTGACCTTCCAGCAGGTTTTGAGAGGCTGAAAATGCAGGTGAGGTGATTTCTGATCTTTTCTAACATGGAGTAGCTGGTGTATTTGGACTGCCAGAGGACACCATTTTTAGGTTAGCAGTGCGGACAACCACAAAAAAAAAAAAGCCTAGAAAGTTCTAGGACTGGATCTGGAATGAGATATTCTAATACAAGCTTCAGTGTTTCTTCCCTGGCTTTCACTCCTCTCTGAATTGAAAGATGCTGCTCACTGAAAAGATTAAAGATGGATTTTTGCACTGAGCAGATCTGGGTTCAAATCTTTCTAATAGCTATGTACCTTTGGGAATTATTTTCCTCTTTAAACTGTAAGTGTGAATTAAGCTAAAAATAGGACCCATCCATGGGATTGAAGGATTAAATGGAATAATGTAGGAATTGAAAAATGTTCTCTAAATGTTACCCATTGTTGTATTATTATGTAATCTTCAAACTATGTTTGATTACACTGCATGAAATACTTTCAGTTTTTCAAAGATGCCACTGATACATGTGAAATCAAACACTGGATATATTTTTTCCCCCATAAAAGTAAAGTCATATGCCAGATGCCAAAGGAAAGTATTTCATGGACAAAGACTAATTTTAAGACTGATCTGTTGTTTTGGGGTTTTTTTTAACCTCTTCTCTCATAGCAGGCTATTACTTTCTACAGTTTCAAAATGTTTTTGATCTTGATGTTAAAACATTCTAATTGAGCCAGATGAAACTACCATTTTTTGAGGTAAAAAAGGAGCAAAACCTGCTATCTAGGGTCCAGGCAAACAGACTAACCAACAGTGGAGCAATGAGAGATTTATTTCGGTTGCAACGGATTCCCAAAGAATATTATGTGGAAACGAAAATGATCGCGTTATTATTCCAACACATAGTGAGATGATGTCACTTTCCCAAGAATTAACAAAAATAAACAAATATATTTCTACCCCAATAAAATCTATGTAAACACCGCTTTCCAATAAAATCCCAAGTGAAACTATATTAGTGCCCACAGAACTCTCAAGCAGGACACCAAAAGTAGTTGACAGCGAATGTATTGAGGAAGTCTGCAGCTGTTGAAGTTACTTACCTCTTATGATCTTGCCAAACGTTTGAAAAAGGATACGCTGGTGTTCTGTGTGGTAAGCGTGGCAGTGGGGCGGGGGCTACATGGATACACTTTCTTGACTGATTCTGTGAGTATGATAGGGACATCCGTGTCGCTCTGTATGCTTTCCCACTGAGTGTCCCCGTGTTTACTTCCTTCTGTGTGTTTCTGAATTTATTTCTGGCCTCATCTCTCTGTGTTGGACAGAGGTGACTTTTTGCCTGTCTGTTCTCCGAGTGTGCATGTTGGTGCGCTGGACGGGTGTGTCTCAGTGTCTGTGGCTTTGGTTCCCTATAAGTCTGAGCATGCCTGTCTGTCAGGGTGCATTTGTGCTTGTACATGCGTGTCTCGGTGGGCACTCTCGTTTCTGTTACCGTATGTGGAGGAGTGCCTGTGCACTGCCCTCTGCTCTAAAGCCTCCGTCCTTACAGGCGCCCAGGTAGCAGCTACGTAACAGCCCAAAGCTCCTGGGTTAGCTGGTAAGCACTTGAGTACCGGCTTTAGCCCTTTGGGAGCAGCCCGGAGCAAACCGGTAGGGAGTGGCGGCCCTCCAGCCACCGGGTAGCAGCCAGGCCCCGCCCGCCCGCTCAGGGCCGGAGGGGCGGTCCGGGAAGGGAAGGGGCGGGGAGGGAGGGGGCCTCGCCCCTTCGGGGCTGCCCGCGCACCATTGGCTGAAAGTTGCTGTACGTCACGAGGAGGGCAGTTCCCCTAAAGTCCCATACACATAACGGGCAGGGAGCACTCCGAGGCGGCTTTTCCAGAGCGCAGGCTGGGGCTGACAGGCAGCGCGAGCCCAGCGCACCCCGCAAAGCTGAGTGTGCAGGACGCGCCCCACCACACCCACCCCACGGCCACTGAATGCGACTTCCAGGCTACCGCTCGCTGCCTGCAGCGCCCCGCCGGAGGTCGCCTAGCTGAGGCGCGACCAGCGCGCCTGCAGCCCGTGCGCTCACCTGCCAGCCTGCGCGCCATGGGACAACCCGGGAACAGCAGCGTCTTCTTGCTGGAGGCCAACAGAAGCCAGGAGTCGGATAACAATGTCACGCAAGAACGGGACGAGGCGTGGGTGGTAGGCATGGGCATTCTCATGTCTCTCATTGTTCTAGCCATCGTGTTTGGTAACGTGCTGGTCATCACAGCCATCGCCAAGTTTGAGCGTCTGCAAACGGTCACTAACTACTTCATCACCTCGCTGGCCTGTGCTGACTTGGTCATGGGCCTGGCAGTGGTGCCCTTTGGGGCCAGCCACATCCTCATGAAAATGTGGTCTTTTGGTAATTTCTGGTGTGAGTTTTGGACGTCCATTGACGTGTTGTGCGTCACCGCCAGCATAGAGACCCTGTGTGTGATCGCTGTGGATCGTTACTTTGCCATCACGTCACCCTTCAAGTACCAGAGCCTGCTGACCAAGAATAAGGCCCGGGTGGTCATATTGATGGTGTGGATTGTGTCAGGCCTTACTTCCTTCTTGCCCATCCAGATGCATTGGTACCGGGCTACCCACCAGGAGGCCATCAACTGCTATGCCAAAGAGACCTGCTGTGACTTCTTCACGAACCAAGCCTATGCCATCGCCTCCTCCGTCGTGTCCTTCTACTTGCCCCTGGTAGTCATGGTCTTTGTCTACTCCAGGGTCTTCCAGGTGGCCAAAAGGCAGCTCCAGAAGATCGACAAATCTGAGGGCCGCTTTCATGCCCAAAACCTCAGTCAGGTGGAGCAGGATGGGCGAGGTGGACATGGCCATCGGCGGTCCTCCAAGTTCTGCTTGAAGGAACACAAAGCCCTCAAGACTTTGGGCATCATCATGGGCACCTTCACCCTCTGCTGGCTGCCCTTCTTCATTGTCAACATCGTGCATGTGATCCAGGACAATCTCATCTCTAAGGAAGTTTACATCCTCCTAAACTGGGTGGGCTATGTCAATTCTGCTTTCAACCCCCTTATCTACTGCCGTAGCCCAGATTTCAGGATTGCCTTCCAGGAGCTTCTGTGCCTGCGCAGGTCTTCCCTGAAGGCCTATGGGAATGGCTGCTCCACAAACAGCAACGGCAAAAGCGACTACACGGGAGAGCAGAGTGGATATCACCTGGGGCAGGAGAAAGAGAGTGAACTGCTATGTGAGGAGCCCCCAGGCACACCAGACTTTGTGAACTGTCAAGGTACTGTGCCCAGTGATAGCATTGATTCCCGAGGGAGGAACTGTAGTACAAATGACTCACTGCTGTAATGCAGTTTTTCTGCTTTTTAAGATTCCTCCCTCCCCAAGGAACACTAAACAGACGATTTAACTTGAGTGTAATGAATTTAGAATAAAATTGTATAGAGATGTGCAGGAGGAAGGAAAGCCTTCTGCCTTTTTTTTTATATTATTATTATTTTTTTAAGCTGTAAAGAAGAGAAAGTGTATTTGAGTGATTGTTTCGTGTACAGTTCAGTTCCTCTTTGCATGGAACTTTTAAGTTTTATGTCTGAAGGGCTTTGTCCCAGAGGACTTGCTATGTTTTGACAACTCTTCATGTATCTACCTCACTGGCCAAGTATTAGTGGTAATATGTTGCTGCTGGTAATTTGTACCTGAAGTTGTCCCTTCCTGCACCCTTGGACTTGAGGATCTTGGATACTTCAGCTGTGAACATGAACTGTCTTCCCTGAACCTCTTACTTGTTTAAACGGGGTGTTGTAGGCAGGGATTTGAGGGGCAGCTTCACTTATTTTTCTGAGCAAAGTCTAAAGTTTACAGTAAATAAATCGTTTGACCATGACTCCTTTGCACCTGTTTCTCCACAAACCCCTTGACTGAAGTGTTGTTGCCTCCCTCACTAGAAACTTCAGGTAACTATTTGTAATAACTGCCCAGTGACTTAATGTGAAATGAGTCAGGAGTGACGTGCACTGATTGCTTAACCCTTTCGCCTGCTTTGAAATCTGTTTCAATGAACCTGTATCTCTCCTAACACCGGTGGCCCAAATCAGTTTTGTCTGCTTCCGGCACAGTTTGCCTCTGCCTAAGGTTATTACACTATGCTGTTACATCAGACATACTGACTCACAGAAATGGAGTTATGGGCATAGGTTTTGTCCTTCCATACCCCACCCCCCTTTCAGTTCTTCTTGTTTCATGACTGCTTATATGTATATATTTTTGTCATGTCTTTGAGTGGAGAGGTTTGTGCTGCACTAGCTCAATATTAAAAAAAAAAATAAGGGAGATGTTCTTCTGAGAAGTCACTCAAACATAACTCATCTTTAAAAGAAATTAACAAGATCTTTGGTTATAGAGAGAAAAACTGGAAGACAATAACTCATGACAAAGAAACAGATTTAGTCTCAGCTCCATTTTTTTTCTATCCTCCTTTTTTCTCTTTTATGGGCCCCTTTCTCTTCAGTATAATCCAATGTTTCTTAATGTCGTCAGCACCAGTAACGTTTTGGACCCAGTAATTGTTGTGTGGGACTGTCCGTGTAGTGTTGCAGTTTTAGCAACATCTCTGGCTTCTACCCACTATATGCCAGGAGACCCACCCATCTGTGACAATCAAAAAAATGTTTCCAGAGATTGTCAAATGCCCCTTGAGAGCGAAATTACCCTTAGTTGAAAACTTTAGGTTTAAACTTTTGAAATCAAAACAGATTTGAGATTCTTTGTAATGTACCAGTTTTGTTTTGAAGAGCCTCTTAAAAGCTATGGCATTATTACCTCTGGTTGAGAAGCTGTGGTATAAACTTTTGAAATCCAAGCAGAGTTTTAGGTCCTATCTGAGGCAATGGCTTGATTTTATGGAGTTTCAGAGAAGCATTTTTAATGGCTTACTCCATCACTGACAGACCCTAGGCCAGTGTTCTTTCCACTCAGTCATGCTGACTTACGAATTTATTTTCTGGCTGCCTAGATACTGACCATGAGCTGTTCAGAAAGCTTTAGGTCTGCACAGATTATTTGGGAGGGTTTATCAATGGAGGAGAGGCCTGTGAGCCCTTACTGCCTGTTTGTGGAGAGATTATAGTACTGTTAAGAGGCACGTAAGGGAAAAAAAAATATATCACAAATGTAAACACACTTCTCCTCCCCCCTCACCTTGCTACCACCTCTTTTCTATTTTTGCTGTGTGTCTGAGCCAGAGTTTGGCCCATGTTTGATGGAGTGAATCGTCCTCCTTGGCAGCGCCAGGCTAGAGAGGATCAGTCTGCAGGGTTCACTGGCATTTCACTCACTCATGAAGCTGACTCCACTTCTTTCTTCTAACCTCAGCCAACATCCCCAACCAGCAAAGCTCTGGGCATCTCTGCTTCCTATCAGTCCAGTGATGGGATGTCTGGGTGAGCGACCAAACACTGGGCTCTCAGGAAAAAGTTAGGCAACCCTGGTTTGAAATAAGCCAGGAAAAATTGAAGATTGGGTGCCGATCAATGCCTTTGCTTTTTCTCAGAGGGCTTTCACCCTGGTGCCATATTCTCTTCCCTGGAGCCCCACCTCCAGAGATATGGGCAGCGTCCCCAGCTAATCCTCACATACTCTGTAGCTTCACAGGATCTCAGACTGGGGAGAACCAGTAAAAAGCATTTGACATCTGAAGAGACTGGGCCTCAGAGGGGGAATGACATGCCTGAGGTAAGAAACCCTGTGTGTCAGAGCCAGAGCCAAAGCCTGAGAGCCTGGCTGTCTCCACACACTGTGTATTCTCTTGACAGAATTGTCATTGAGATCTGCCCTCACCCTCAGGTGTAGAAGCTTTTTCCTAGAACTGTTAACACAACAAATTCACGTCAGCCGATGTTTTTTCCTTCTTTTGGATCTTTAACACAAAATCCATGGAATAAACAACCTGAAATGAGGACAAGAGAGAGATTTGTTCTGTTTACTCAGCAAGGATCCTCTAGGATACCCTCCACACTGGGGACGCCAGGAGAGTCGTATCTCTCTTTATGACCTGCTGTCATGGATTTCAAGTCACTCCAGGTAAATATTTTCTGACGTTGTGTTTTAGAAAGAATTTTTGCCTTTTCTATAATCATTTGTACGTCCTATGGACTGTAAACATTATTAATAAATTATGTCAGTGCTGTTAAATATGATTTTGGTTAAGAGAATGTTTCTTTTTAAATATAAATAAATGAATATTTAGTGCAATTCCAGTTTAAAAAGCTAACTCTAAATATGCAGATTACAGAAAAAAAGGATTTTTGTCATATTCTGGTCCCTTTAAAATGACTTTCAATGTAAGAGCTTTTATGAACACTAATGGTCTTGTCAATATATATACCTCAATTTCTACCTCCTGCAGTTTTGCTTTGTTTCTTTGAGGGCTGATATCAGTGTCCCGCTGTGTCTCTGTGTGCCGATCGGTTGGTTGGTTACATAAGGTTGTGTTGGATTTAGCATCATAAAGTTTTCCTTGCCTGGACTACAAGTTCTCAGAATCTGTCAGATGAGAACCTCCTCGTGAGAGACAAGCTGACAGGTGTATACAGTGGTGGCAGAGGGGGGACCTCCTGGCCGGGAACCTTACAAACCAGGAATTTGGGAGAAAGAGAGGCTGGAAATCGGCGCTGTCCTTGTACTCTTTGGATGTTTCTAATAATGAGCATTCTTCTAGATGGAATCTTGACCAGGATCAGTCAGAGTATTTTATGAGCACCTACTGTGTGCAGCTCCCTGAAACCAGGGTGCTCTGGTGGCCTGGTACATCGAGAGTTGCATTGCGAACCCCAAGGTGGTGTCTCTTTGGTGACTTGAATCCTGGTTCTACAGGAGTAAGAGGAGCGATCTCCTCTGCTGAATCCATAGCCTCAGAACCTACTTGAGGGTCATTTATGAGTTGGTGGCAATGAGGTTTTTTGGTTGGTTTTTTTTTTTAGATGGTGTGCAGCATAATAAAGGTATCACTCTGTCCTCATGATATTAATAACAATTGACAGATACCTTTTATAGGTTTTCAACACTTTCACTGCAACAATGGGCTTAAGCTAAGCAGAAATTGTGAGGATGGTGCAGGATTAGGGCAGGGTTTCATTCCCTTAGTAGGATCCTACTTGTGGACCTACTGACCTTTTATTCAATGTTTACTGAATGTTAAAGGCTGTGCTCTCCATCTTTCAGCCATCTGACATCTTTGCAACCTTACAGTATTGGTATTCTAATGAGCCCCATGTAACAAATGAGGAAACTGAAGTTCAGGAAGGTTGAGTAACTTGTTAAATGTGAGCTAGCTGCAGAGCACAACGGGAACCTAGGTCCTGACTCCAGTGTCCACCGAGCCTCACATACGTGTAGCCCAGGAAGCAGCACAGGGCCCCTGGTAGTTTGTGCCAGAACGAGTGTAAGAACTGGAAACGCAATACCTTGCTGAGAGAAGAGGGAGATGGCTGCGGTCCGGGGCAGCAGGAATGTTCCCTTCAAAGCATGTGACCGTGGGGGTGCCTGGACTGGGACAGGAAGCCATTCACTGAAGTGACTCCCTTTGCTTCTCTGAGGCCCTGCTTTTGTCTGTTCTTCCGAGTCAGGACAAATTACAAAGAGGATATGAAACCCCAAGATGACCTGAGCAGAATAAAGCAGGAACATAGGAGCCTTGTTGTTGTTTATTGCCGTCAAGTGGAGCACGACTCTTAGAAACCCAATGAACAAAAGGCCTGAAGCCTTTCTATAACTCTCATCATTTATCAAAGTTCATAAGAGTTTTCAGAGGCGTGTTGCACCTTAACAAAGTCATTCTCACTTCTAAAGTTGGGAAGCCCTCTTCAAGTGAGTAGGGAAACTCAGCCAGCCTTGGTGGAGCTGCAGGCATACCCTCTGCTTTTAGCTAGTCTTCCAGGGGCAGGGAGATGACTTTCTGGCAGCAGAAATCCATGAGGTTTAATATACTCTGAACAATACTTCTCACTGACAATATAACCCCCACTAAACTCAGCCCTGTGCTAACCTCTACCTCACTGACAGTGCAAATATAATTTAAGGAAGGAATTTTTTTTAAAATACCTGAGAGAACAAACTTTCCAAGGGCTTTTGAAAAATTGAGAAATACTGATGTCTTATGAATAATAGAGAGCAAACTAAGAATACTAGAAGGCAAATGAAAGTGAAGGGCATTACAGATTGGGGCTCTCATACAAGTAGAATGCAGGTCTCAGACTGGTCTCTCCCTCTCATTTTGTATCTGCCTCTCTCACTAAGAAAAATTAGAAATGGCAGTTTTCCTCTTCAGACCATGGCCAGCTCATCTGTAAAATAAAGAGTGGTGCTGGTGGTCTCTAAGCTGCTCTTATCTCTGAGTGTAAAAAGCTGTTATAGACTAATTAGAACCAGCAGTTTGCATTTCTG